TGAGAATTGAAAAACACAGTACGATCATCGGTTGTCAAAGAACTACTGGTTTATTGCAGTCCCCGTTCGTAGTCGGTTGTCTCAAGTGGACCATAACGGTGGTCTGCCAGTTCTGCTTGTTACCATTACTTTAACCGTTGTTTTATCCCCATTCTTATAAAATGAAAAGCGCCATCAATGCACGAGTACTCGCTTGCCTTTGATGACAATTGCCTAGCCGCATTCTTGCCTCAGCAGCGGAACTCTTGCCGTATTCTAATGGGACCTTTCCAGTTGTTTTAAGTGGTTTTTTGGGTGTGAAATAAAGCTACCTGTCAAAAAGCCAGAATGGATAGGTTAGAGGCTTATTTCGTGTGGCAGTCGCTAACAGTCGACTCACCAGATGAGACAACTAATTGAAGAAGTGTGGTTGATGGCAAATAAGTGGAATCACAAGGGGTGTTTGGTTTTGCAGGCATCAAGGGACTGCCTGCCGTGGTGGCACCACAAGCGGTGGTACATGTTTAGTTTGGAAGGCCCGATTCTGGATGTCAGATCGACGCAGAAGACCTCGTGATGCAAATTAAGTCACCTTACTGCTTTTAAACAGCACAGAAGAATGAAACGTTGTGCATTGCGTTGGAGCTGAGTGTTTTACCAGAGAAAGTCAGGATTCGTAATTTTGCATCAGCAAAAACCGGTGGAAGCACACCGATTCCGGCATGGATGAAGAAGTGAAGCAGGGTGTCCAACGATGGCTCAACTGTACTTCTTGCCTTCCGGACTGGAAGCCGGTTAGGCACTGAGACATGAGTGCAGAGATTTAACGGTAGGAGATTACGCGGAACATGTAAGTGCGGTTATCACCCAGCGGGCCACGTTCTCTTGCCTCATGTGATCACGAAAGTCGCAATTCAATCCGTATTCTACGGTATTGACCTTTTAATTCTACTTCCATTTTATAATCGGATCCCCAAACAGAAAACCTGCGGGAATATAACGTCAAGCTGAAACGGTTATTGTTTTCCCTGTGTAAATTCACATCCTCTTGTCGGATGCGCTGACATGGTTGTAGAGGGTGTGATGGAAGAGGAAGAAGGGGGCCAGATGGCAAAAGCAGATATTGTGTCGCCAGGGTGAGAGCTATGAAGCAGGATGGATTCGTCCAAAGCTGAAAAAATCGGAGCGTCGCGAGGTGGCCTATAGCGTAACTGTAAGACAAATGTACAAGGCAACTAGTACGAGTTAGATCAGTCAGCAACACTATCAAAGAAGAACGATTGCTTGCCCTACAAGGTGTAGGAGAGGAGTGCCAAAAGAAGGTCGGTGGTGATGCTTCTTGCGGGGCTTTCTAAGTAACCCCGCATTTTCACGGTGAATTTTGATAACTTCTTTGATACGTCCTATGGCAGGAGTGCTAAGACCAATTCGGTGGAGATCGGCCTTGTGAACGAAATCAAAGTGCTGAGGTCTGGGGTAAATAAAAGTAAGACATTTTGGCAAATTACAATTTCCATGCCAGAAAGAGTGATTATTTGAATCGAACATCAATATACAAAAAATATTCATCTTTGTAACTAAATACACCTAGTTGAGATAGTAAACATGTTAAAAAGAGTCTTAGTCTCACTAGAGTTTTTGAGCAACATCAGAGAAGGAGGAATTCCATATATTCATTGTACAGCTTATATTACTATGTAACTCGGGGAACCTCTTTAAAGGTGCCATAAAAGTCCAGCAAAGTCCGAATCCAATCAGACCATGATATATCCAAGGAGACGTATCAAACACCGATTTTCGAATATTCGCTATGTGTATGTTACAAAATGTAGTGTCCATTTCTTCATGCGGTATTATACGATGCGTTTAATTCACCAAAATTTAGCCATTTGTGCATCCTTGATTTTGGCATGGTATTAGCAGGCATTTATGCATTTGCTTTTGTTTCACTGTTTTACTGCATTCCTCATTAATCACACAAACTTTAATCGGGATGAGTTCTATGCCTCGAATTACCTACTCAAGTCTCTTTAATGCAGGCTTGAGTATCATTTTAACCTATATTTTTACATTTTATTCATTTTGGACTTATTTTAAAGTGAACAAAATGCACAAATTTTGACGTTTGTGATTTGTCATCACCCTTTTCCGCTTATTATGGGAAGATTGTATCTTCGGGAGTCTATTCTCTTATTTTCATGCCGCAGTTAAACATACCTGTAACCTAAATTATTTTAAGTCATGTATAACGTAAAACACGTTTTTGGCAAGTTTACTTTTCAATATACAATATTTTTTAATTGGATTTCTCTCTTGAGAATGGATTCAAAGAATCCGAGTCAAATGAAAATTTGGGGACGTCATATCTTTTTACCATACTCTTCAATTATCATAATCCTCAGGAAATATTTAGTTAGGATTTCTCACATTTGGTGATCAAAACCCCCAACCAATAGCACAGTCTTAGTCGAAAGAACCCTGTGAGATCATGCAAAACTTAGTAGGCATTATCGACTCAAAAAACCGAGATAAGGGACCTCCTGGTTTATGAAAAACTGTAATGCACATGCTAAAAGGTATTTGTGCATTGCAGGGTGTGGCACATAACTACCATTCCGGTTTGTGGTGCTATTTGCTCGTTTGATCGTAAAGCGCTAGGCACTCTGCCACTTTGGGGGTGATGGGAGTCTCGAATCCATAATCGCCTAGTCTGCATGCACACAGGCCCATTGAAACCTCATCCACGCTCTTGTCGTTTCACCTACAAACGAGGACGTAAACTACTTACTGTAACCATAGTGACAGCTTGGCTGGTGTTGATTATTCCGCTCCCCAAAATAAAACATATATATTCCTATCACCTGCTGCAATTTGGGATTACCAATGGCTTTTTTTTCATATAACAGTAAAAAATATTCCTACTTCTAACGAGTGCATTTACGATGATTTCTTTTGTACTCAATTTGCTTTTTTGTGTTTGACAGCGCCGTTTTTGCCACATTCTGGGAAAACATTTGCCCTGAAGCAATAACATGATTGCGATAGAGTAAATCCACTTTTCTATTTGGCAGAAGATTGACTTACAGCTGGGTGTGTACGCAGCGTGACTTTAAGGCAAAAAATTGGGCCTGAATATAAAAAAACAAAGTGGAGTCAAGCCTTGCGCTTTTCTACACATTAACTACCATGCATACTGATACTGGAGTTGCAAGGCCACCTAAGTCGCCTAGTCTTGAGGGCAAATTTACAATGTGCGGAAACAGGGACGCCAAGGTCCCCCATTCTCAAACACCTGCAAAACCTATTTGTCAAGCGCCAACACGTCATTTGCTCTTTTTACATGATAGAAAAATCAGGAACACAATAGAACTTTATTGCTCTACAATTATTCACCATCGGTTGCAAGAAGGTAAGAGAAAAGGAATGCGGTGGTTGGTGATGCTGGACAAAAGGATCTTCATTGGTCACTGACTTAGTCAACACATTAATACAAATTATCTAAGACAAGAAAGGTTTATCGTCTTCAAAATTTAACCCATATTAGTTTTTAAAAAAGCAAACATCACTCACTCAATTTGTTTATAAACACGACTCCAAAACACCGCTTGTTTACTCTCGTCAAGGTCAGTGCGTGGTGAACATCGATCATTTTGGTTTATTGATTTTTGGAGAAATTCTCGTCACAAATCAATACTGCTGAGTCAGCGGGGCTACACACAAAAGGCGGCTCTTTAGCTGCTACGGGCAAGCAGTGGCGGCGAGGTATGACGCGTCGACACTCCCATTGGTAGTGCGCAGTTCTAAAATTCAACTTTCCACAGCATGGTTGTCTACCTCACTGATTTGTATAAAGTCCTGAGTAATTTCTTTTTAATACTATGTAAAAAGAGAGACATTTTATTATTTTACAGCAGAATGGGACTATTTTTGCAAGCAAGGAAATGCCAACTTTTTGGGCAGTGAAATTTCGTGGAATAGATCATTTTCTGACTGAATTTTAATTTATTGAAGATAATCGGTGGATAAATTAAACCAAAAATACAATGAGTCGCCGGATGGGACATTTATGCTATAGTTAATTTCTTTTTTACTATAGTTCTCCATTCAAGAAAGGTTCTCCTCAGTCATCACCCGCTTAACCCTTGATCAAACTCCAAGAAGAGAGGTAATTCTGGGTTCCAGAAGGCAAGGAACAATTTTAGGCTTTCCATACTTAATAGGCTGGTCATGAACGGTAGAATTCTTTTTATGCATGACTCCCTTAAATGCTCGATCTGCCTGATTATGCAGAGGTGACTTGCTGCCTACCCTTTGTCGGAAGGATCGAGTCACACATTTCTGGTTGCTTGAGCAAATAAGATGGTGCCGGTCGACTTGGTGTTTGCAAATGGATTTGTCTTTTTATAAAATCTTTTTCTTGAAAGAGGATTTTTAATAATATGGGGACCCGTTTTTTTGGCTTTAATGTGCATTTAGCTGTTAGAAGTTTGAATCTTTGTTATTTGTCTCCCCCTCATAATGGCATAGCTGAAAGATCGTCTCAGCAGCCTCTCAGTCAGTGATAGCTCTTCGTCCATATTTTACTGGCTTGTTTTGGCTTCAAGTGGAGGCCTGGAGAGTTCTGTATTAGCTCCGACTTTTGAGCGTCACCGAAAATTTCTTTGGTCAGAATACTTAACTAAAACCTAAGGCCAGTTAGTTGGCTTGTTCTCGCAGGCCTCAATGGAAATCTCCTAACAACACTTTGTCACATCTGCCTGTCAAATCCCTCCCCCCTCACTCACAAACCACACACTTTGAGCTGAGCTTCAATCATTTCTTTTGAAGTAAACCCCCCTCCCCACTTCTTGTGCATCCATTTCATTCCCACATAAAACGATATATCAAAAATAGACATCCTTATTACTCATGTTGGAGTTGATTGTGACACGTAGAAGTGTAAAATTAAATGCAGATTTAACCACGCCACATGATGGTATTCAAGAGGTGACGAGTTAGTCGTTAATTTTAAGCTTAGAGAAGAATATACTCCATGGTAAAAAAAGGGAGGGGATCCCACCAGCCTTCGCTCTCAATAATCTAGTGCCAGACAGTGGATCAACTTCAGATTCGAGATTCCTAGGATGGATAATACCATCAAGCAGTGGAAGTGACCCCACCTGCCTTTTTTCTCAAGACCCTACTACCATAATGTCGAGATAATCGTTCAAGCCAAAGATGCCATTCCGAGATCGGCAACGGATCCAAATGAAATTTACCAGCTAAATTAAAAAATCCCAAATAGGTAGTCGGTCTTATCCTTGTCAGATTTCAAGTAGTCACTCGTTCTATCCTTGTGAGATTTTTAGGTCGTGCCTAAATGACCCGGAAACAACATTTAGCTTTACTTTTTCTCCTTCATCAATAAATTACATTAAAAAAAACCGCTAAAGCAATGATTACTCAAATCAGTTCAACATAGGCTACACTCGATTTATCTCCCTCTAATCATAGAATGACAATAAGACAGACGAGGAGTTGCAGTAAGAACTGTGAGCTTTGTGACGCGGTTAGTAATTCGTTTTCCATTGACGCATTTCAAGGATCTCCGTTTCACTGCCACTGTTGTCCGAGTCGACAGCGCCTTCCTCAGCGAGCAAACGTCGCTGATAGGCTCTGTTGACGCTTGCGTTGGCCGGAGGATTCCGCAGTGGGATGCCCATTATGGCGGCTATAAGACAAACAAATCCAAAAACGCAAATCACATGCCAGATGAAGATGTTGGTTGAACGAGGAATGCTCTCAATTGCCAGTTCATCCCAGGCTGGGAGAGAGGGTAGTGGGGGATAGAGGATGGCTCCAACCTAAAACAAGAAGTTATAAAAAAAATTATGGATAAAGCCAATTTCAGGAGAGGGTGGCTGTCAACCTCAAGTGTTAAAACCTACTTGCCAGAACCAGGATCCCTGAGCTATGACTATGACGGAGCGAAGGAGACCAGCTGTGAGTGAGTGGAGAAAAACTACTTCACAGAGACCGACTACGATGAGAACAATCAAAACGTAGATAAGAATAGTGTGCACGTAGATATCTGTGGGAGTTCTTCCGTGCAAATGGAAAGCAAAGAGAACGCATTCGGTTACAATGGCAAGGAAGTTGAAGAAGTAATCGCAGCATCTAAAAAAACAGCATCGCTTTGTAGCAATGTTATATCAAAAAAGTACGCAGATGAGCAACAACAAGTTTGAATTTCAGCAAAATTCAAAAAAAAAAGAAAACTGACCTGAAAAAACTAAAAATTTTGTAAAAATTCAATAACTCAAAGATGCCAGCGAGCATGAACATGGCGAACATTGTCGAATGTTGGGCATTAGTGAGGTACGTGAACTTTCCGTCATGAAATCCTGTGTATACTTCACCGATAATACCGATGCCGCAACAGATAACTTTCAGGAGAGAATCCAAAGGGAATTCTCCGCCCTTGCAACAGCATCCACGCTCAGAACAACGAATGGGGGTGGTGAATTGGTTCTTATAGATAGGTTCGGGATAGCCAGAGAATCCGAGCTCGTACTTCTTCCTTCTGTAGTATTTTTTTAACTGAAATATGGTAGACCAGATACCAAACATTAGGAAAAAACTTCCCGGCAATGCGTGGCCAGCAAACGTACCCATTGCGCGGAAAGCGAAAAGTCCAAATACCGACAAGGTCACTGCACTGTATTTAAATGTGTGGTAGCATTCATAAACAAGGTTATATAAAACATCATGAGGGTGATTAGCTTTAAAGATAATATGCAATAATGTTTGCTTTAGTGCATCGTGTCATTATTTTGTGTGGCTTATTTCTGCAGAACTAATTTTTCAAAGTACAATAAGTTGGTTTAACAGATGCGCTGAAATTTTTTTTGGCTTCTGCAGAAAAAATACATTGAGAATTAGCTTAAGCATCTAAACATTGCCTAATTATACAAATAATGCCTTTTGTTATGCATAACGATGTAAATGCACTCCTTTTAAAGCAATCCTCAAGTTTGCAGTATGTTAATGCTAAAGAACTGAGTATTCCAAATTTGATCAAAGGGTCCCTTGTTATGTTTAATTAATATTTAATCTCACGGTGTAGATAAATGTGTCACTTCAGGTCTCTTCGATTGTGCTTTCGTAATGTGGGATGGCCTCATGCCATGCGAGCCCTACCGTACCTTGGCAATGCATTTTATGTCTTATTTTGCCATCAAAAAAAGTCTTAGAGCGCTGAAGTGATAGCAGTGAAAATCTGACCTCACCTTAAAGCATTTTTTATTCTCATTTCTACTGCAGAGTGACAAGCCTCGGTGGGGCGGAAGAAGTGAATATACTATGGATGGGAGAATCGGTAGTGAACCGTAACATAATAAAGGCGCTACTGGATTAGCGTGGCGATCAACTCACCCAACAAAGGTATAGTAGTGGTCCCTTTACCAATACTGATAGTTAACCAAGCCACCGACGTATTAAACAACCCGCCTCTCATAAGCATCATCCTCCCAAGCTTTCTTTTAACCGTGGGAGAGTCTAGTCGGGGTAGAGCCAATTCATCTATATTTGGCTACCTTTGTTAGTTTTTCCATGAAAAGCTTACAATTTAAGTTAGCACACCTCTTCTCAATTATGAGCCCGCTTGGCGTCTCGAGTTTTCTCTTAAATATGCAATAAACTCAAGCAAAATAATAACTTCACATTACTGGCGCACAGTATTAGTAGACCATGCGCATGGTTCAAAAGTTGTAGTGAAATGGAAAAGTACGGCCTGTGATGCTTTGGGTCAATAAAATTTCAAGCAGCCAAATTAGTTATATGAATATTGCATTATTTTATTTTTGATTTTGTGTTAAAATTTGTATAAATAACTTTGGATCGTCAACTGTTTATAAAATATTAACAATGAGTTTTCTTAACATAGGGTTTTGATTTGGTCATTTCTACGGGGATTCTGGCAATGACTTTCGCCACTTGGCATCCCCTTAAAGAATTCCCACATATCATAACCACTTTGTACAAGAATTAGATGAACAAAATCTTTAAGTATGTGTTCTTCCACTTATACTATTAACAATGCTACAATGAAGTGTAGCGTCCCGAGACTCCCTGAAGACGAAAGAAGACGAAATACTCGGGCAGAAAATATATATTTAGCACGGAGAAGGTGCCCGGGCTATTGGCTTGGCCCAAAAGGCCAGCCCACCCCGCCGGGTACAAGGGGGCTAATTCAAAGTACAAAAGTCGCGCCCCACCAAAACCGAGGGATAAACCACTATTGTATTACAGAAGGTTCTCAGTAGTTAACCACGACTGTGGGGGGTATTGTAGCGTCTCGAGACTCCCTAAAGACGAAAGTAGACACAATACTCGGGTAGAATATATACATATATATATATATTCAGCACAGCGAATGTGTCTGGGCTACTGGCATGGCCCGGAAGGCCAGCCCACCCATCGAGGTACAAGAGGGCTATTCCAAGGTACAAAAGTAGCGCCTCACCATTACCGGGAAACAAACCACTGGCGTATTACAGTATTACCTAGTATGGGAGATATTCAAAGCATATTACAATTTGGCATGCGAAAAAATCGCAACATCCGATTTCCAACCTTGAATTCATTTTCCAAAAGTTTATTATCTAAAATAAAGATTTAAAGGATGCAATAATAGGACAGATTATGTGTTTTGTTTCAAATCTCTGAATATATGCCCTAGAAAAGAGATGTTTGAGAGGTGAAGGACACCATTTTTTCGAGATGTAAAGCTAGAGTTAAAGGATCACCTTTTTCCATAGGGCATCAGCGATATTGTCCACTTTGATGGTAGGCGAAGACCACTTTCCTAAGGAGGTGGTCTAATGTAATACGATAGTGGTTTATCTCTCAGTTCTGGTGAGGCGCCACTTTTGTACTTTGAATAAGCCCCCATGTACCTCGCTGGATGGGCTGGCCTTTTGGGCCATGCCAATAGCCCAGACACATGTTCTGCCTTCTGCCTGAGTATTTTGTCTTCAGGGAGTCCCGGGACGCTACACTAAATTGGGAGATTGCCATCGAAAAAAATATTTACCATATTTTTGTTATTCATCTAATGACATTTGTGGCCTTGCAACGAATTGACGGAAAATGTTAATTAAGGTTTTAATCATTTTCTTGAGTCAGTGTCCCTCTTACTCGATTTGACTTTTTTCAAGTATTTTAGATACTGCTTAGTACAAATCCACCCACTTATATAAAAAAGACACTGCTATGAGTGGCTTCAATAAAATCATCTAATATAAGTTCTTGCTAGCCGTACAGTTATTCTTGGTTTCTCAACCTACTCACATCATTTA